ATTTCTGTTAACTTTTAACTAACAACTGGAGTTCTGTATTGTAGCATGCAAACACAACATTTAATTATTATTATGCAAAACTCACATTATTTATTCCTTTGTACTTCCATTGGGTTTTCTACTGCATTTACAAACAACCCAACAAACAAACTTAAAAGATAACACCCAGTTGGCAATAAGTTAATGTTTTTTGGTGTCTGGAAAACAAGTCTTTTCAAAGATCTCCTGATAAGTCACAATCGATGGGCACCGTGCCGTTACCTAGCAACTCCAGCAAAACCCAGCTTATCACCTAGCAACCCAAGCTGACCTGATCTGTGTTAATGAGGAACTATTTGTTTAAAAAAACATAATAGTAGTTATTTACCTTGTTATATCTGCTAACTATAAAGGATCACGTGAAGGAACTTACTTTGCAGATTACAGATCATTTTTGCATTGGAAGGAATCAAACCAGGTTTTGGGTTTGTCCACCTTTAAAGACATCCAACTGCTAGAAAAGCTAATTCTCCATGCATCTAACTAATGTAAAGACTTTCTAGCGAGGTGTGCTAGAAATGAATAACTACGTTACTGACTGGCTGACTGGTGAATTAACTTACCGTGTGTCTGTTTGTTGTGCACTCAAGGACATCCGTTCGGTTTGTACACAAGCCTTTCCATACACATACACACTCTCACATCTTCTCTCCAGAGTGACAAGGAGAATATTTCCTTGTTTACTCAAGTGCCACTTCATGATTAAAAACTAATCAGGCTTCATCCAGACTGGGATACCCCACATACTGACACAGACTGAACTCTAATTATCTTAACGGGAGCCAGGAGTGAGAGGCAGAGACACATGTATGGAGAGAAGAAGGATGAAAGTAGAGCTGTGAGGACCAGGTGAAATGTGAAAGTCAGATCTAATAGGAAGTAAGATAATGCATGGCTTGTGTCAGATACAAAAGATCATAAATATGATCGAAGGCCAGAGCCATTTACTTTGTAGGTATGGACGAAGATGCTGTCCAAGATAAGGGACAATATTAGAAAGTCTTCTGCACCCTCTGCTTGACTTTCTGGCCAATCACATGAGGTCGTACAGTGAAAGACTGATCCATCCTGTTGACTTGGCACTTTCATGTGGTGGAGGGTGTTGGGAAGTGCCATTTAAAGCACTGAGTACCAATGACTGTTATTGATTGTTCAATAAACTTTATTCATTTTTTTCAATTGCCTTCTGAGAGCGTTCTGCATGTAGGCTACTGTATCTAAAATCATGACAGAGAGCTTGTGTACCCCTAAGAAAATTAGAGCTCATAGGGTTTTTCATGGCTTGTACTTGCATAGTGCTTTGCTAATCCAGAGGACTGCAAAGATTGTCACACTACATTCAGTCATTCACACACTCGTTAATATGACAAGCGTTGGTGGCAAGCTACTGGATAGTAGTCACAGCTGATCTGTGGCACACTGACAGAGGCGAGACTGCCAAACACACCGAGCCATCTGACCACTTCTAGAAGACATGGCAAATTAAGTGATTTGCCCAAGGACACCTAACTTGGACAAGTGTCCAAGTGAAGTGGACACTTTCCCGCTTAGCTAGCACCCAGCAGGAATTGAACCAACAAACTCCTACCACAGTCACCACCATTGTCCCAATGGCAATCCCAAGGCAGATTGACTGAATCTTTGTTTTGACCGGCCATGTGATCCAGCTTTGGCTCCTGAGGTCCAGCTGTGACATGAAGCCTCAACGTTCTGCACACAAGGTGGACTCTGTCCTACTCCAGATTTGCCCAATGCAAGAGGAGCTGGAAACCTTGATGGGCTAGAGCAGGGGTGGGCAATCCTGGTCCTCGAGGGCCGGTGTCCTGCAACTCTTAGACGTCTCCCTGGTCCAACACACTTGAATCCAACAGCTGAATCACCTCCTAAATGCAGTCAAATTCTCCAGAGTCCTGCCAATGACCTAATTATTTGACTCGGGTGTGTTGAAGTAGAGACGCATCTAAAGGTTGCAGGAGACCGGCCCTCCAGGCCTGGAGTTGCCCACCCCTGGGCTAGAGAGTCCATCTTCTGGTTCCAAGAAGGAAGGTTCTTTTTTTAAGATCATATTGGCTCTAATAAGCTTTATTTGATAGTGGTCAGACAAGAAAATGGGTAAAGGGGTGGAAACTTGCGGTAAAGTTCATCTGGCTGAGACTTGAACCTGTGACAGCCACATCAAGGACTAAGGCCTCCTTATATGGGTTGTGTTTTATCCCTGTGGCACAGCAGCACCCACAAGAAGTTTTCACTAGTGCTTATGAGCCAAACAGCTGTTCAGATTACTGAGTCTTGAAGGGGGACCATGTGGTGCTCCTCAGGGATTTCAGTGTCCAAGTAGGTAATGACAATGTTGCCTGGAGTTTTATGAGTAAGATCAGAACCAAAGTGTTTGGGTAGACTTCTGTATGAAGCATGGAAAGTCTGAAACAAACATGACGTTCAAGCACAAGGTATATAAGTATACCTGTGTAGGTGACTTAAAGTGACTTAAAGTCACTGAGACACCAGGGACAGGACCTAGTTACCTCAGTGCTCTTCCTAATGGAACGCCTCACAAAGAAAGGTTCTTACCAAAATAGACACTGATCACCTATGCGACCTATCCCACATTCACAAATACATTCATTTATCATCTGCTCCTACAGTACCTGATGCAACACTTTAGTGCTTAGCTAAGAACCAAAACCTGGTTAATGACATGACTGTTGCCACTTTGCTTAACTGGCCAGAAAAATGGACTGACTTGAACCCTACTGATGTGGTCAATAGAATAGTTAAGTTGGCTGATATTTTTGCAATAAACTAGTTTTTGTAATGGCTTTAAATTATATTCTAATATTCAGAGAAACTGAATGTTGAGTTGTCACTAACTTTAAGCCATAACCATAAAAATGGTCCAATATTAACACTTTATTATTGTAAATAAATGAACCGAATAGTCAAACTGAGAGCCGCATAAAGGAATCAAACATTCTGGATTACTGGTTGATTATCCGAAACCGTTCCAGAGTAAACTCTGATGTGACGACATGTGGTCAAGAAGGGTACACTTTGATGGAAGAGATTTGGTTCACACACTTGGAGTCATGGAGTTTGGGTTTTTATAGACTCAAATGTTCAGACACATTTAGTCTTATATTAAAACCCCATGAAGAAAAACACAAAACAGGAAAACTACAAAATGTAAAAGCAACCCAACATTCACTCATTTTAGTTTGTGAATATTTTCAGTGCTACCACCGGAACACAGTTCAGAAGGAGTGGATGCAGAAAATGATGGCATAAATCTCACTAATAACACCTTAATGACCGCGAAAGTATTGGCTTAGGATTTCATGAAGGATGGTGCAGCTTTTTGAACAGAAGTCTGTTGGAGTGAGAATTGCTCACAGCTAGTGATTTGCAGCTGTTTCCAACACATCTACTTTTGTTCTTGTCTTTTAATTTGTTGACTTTGAGTCCTGTTTAAATTTGTAGACAAAAGGCTGTTCACTGAATATTTTTGCCACTGTTTTTGTCATGGAAACAAACACTGATATATCAATAATTTTACATATAAACATACGTTTTATTCCTGCATTTTATTGTATTGAAAAAAGCTTTTCCAATTTTGCTGCATTAGTCCTTTCATGTCCTGTTCCTCCTTAGTACAGCTCAATATGATGAGCAGGACTGATGTTTAGCCTTTCCTTTGTTTTCCTCTTATTGTCTCTTTCGTTGTTCATGCCAAGTGCAGTGTGACCTTTCTCAGCTCTGCCTCCATCAGTGTAACCTAATGAATGTGTTTTTATCTTTGATGGAGAATTACTCCACAACTCACTCTGACAAGGGCTTGAAGCACCAGGATATAAAGTTGGTTTCTTGGTTTGTAAAGTGTTGACCTCCTCACACAGTAACAGATTCTCTCCTGCTTTGGGGATGGTTGGGTGCTGCTTTACTTTCCTCTCACAGTCCAAAAATAATTGGTTGTTGATTGATGTTTGGGAGGAGAGGGCGGAGACTGGAATCAAACTCACAACTCTCCTTGTAAAAAGCTGCATTCCTTTTATTCTTCCTATGGATCTACATACACAGATCCATAGGAGACGTCAGTCAGTGTCTTATTCAGGCATTGCAGCAGCTGTGTGTGTGGTGTTCTGGGGAAATTGTAGTCTGTGGTTTTACAGAAGAGCTATGGATTCAACTCATTCAAATGACGCACAACTTCTTTGGAACTGTGTAGCTGTGAGTGCTATGGTGGAGCTAACTGCACGTTGTCTGACAAAAATAAAACCAAACCATCATCCTCCTGTCTTTTTCGTCATTTCTGCCAGTAGTAACATCTGCCTGTTGATTATGTGATCTGTGTGATGCAAAAAAGTGTTTCAATTGCAGTTTTGCAAAAATAAATCTATTTCCATACCTTTTCCTAGAGCAAAACTTTTTATTGAGAAACGCAAGTTTTTTTTCAGGTGGCGTGTTCCCATTAAGCAAATTCATCTACGTAATTTCAATTTGTGTAATTTTATGATTAATGGAAACTGAGCTGTTTTAGCTCTTGAACTTTTGCAGTTTCTTTTATTTTTTTGGACTGAGAATCTGATTTTATGTCCCCTCCTGGGTAGAATACCTGAGTTAACAGCATTTTATGCTTCCTACCAACAAACTGTCAAAATATTCACTAACATGGTGTTAGTCACTAGATAAATCCAGTGGATTTGATTATTAGCTTCTATTTTCCCTCTTCTATTGGAATCTAAAATTCAATAAGTTTTTTTTTTGTATCCAAACACTGCTTTCGATGTTGACGTTCTCTTTAAAAAATAACTTGGAATCTGGAATTGAAGTCACTGGAGATTGGGTTTTCCTGAGTCATAAAACCATACAGTTCTCTATTGATTCCAATGGTTCCAGCCCATGGAGTCCTAACGCGGTGTTGTTGAACAAACTGCTAAAAAATTAACTACCACACACCCTCCATAAAAATGTTATAAAAAGAGCATTTATTTCAAATTTTTTTTCTGCTTCTCAGATTGAAGCACATAGTAAAGCAACAATACAATGTTCTGAAAATATAAGTGTGATGTAACTTTTTTTTTTAAATCTTCTTAACATGTTTTTGTTGTAATACTGGAATATTCTGCATGTATACTAAAATAATAACTTTTAAAATTGTACAAATCTGTACCATAAAACTTGACAGAGAATTAAAAAGGAGGCGTTCTCTCACTGCAACAAACACAGATTGCTAGTTTTTCCTCAGGAACAGGGAGAAAGAACCAAGAAATGCAAAATAATGGAATGAACGATGTGAAATACAAAGAATAAAATAAGAAAGGAAGAAAATGTGTCTGCGCAGGCAAAGAATGATAATAATCAAAGTTGATATTTAACTTTAGGCAGGGAATTTCTTACAACTTTCCAAAGAAAAGAAAAACAAATGATCTTTTATTTGGTGTGAGTTAATTAAACAGTAAGAACACTCAAGTGTCGTCTGCATACAGTTAAACATCAGTTTGTTTCTTTGTAGCTGCAGCCAATGAAGTAACTCTTACTGTAATAATAATGATGGTAACAATAACAATAATAATAGAAAACAACAGTAATAATAATATAACATTAAAAAGAAGGTGAACAAAAACACACACTCTTAAAAAGGATGTTCGGGTGTCAACCTTTCCAGGATTCCGTCACCCCCTCCTGCCCCACAATTTATGCTTAAAATCAACACATGTTGATGCAACACATGTTGCAGGCAACACACTACTGCTCTGGAAGTGTTCACACCCCCGTTAAAGTGCCAGATTTCTGTGATGCACACAATGAGACTTTGCTAAATCTTCCTGACATTTGCTAATTAGCATATTTTAGGTAAGTTTTACAAAGATCTTACAGAAAAAGAAGTATCTAATTAGGCAAAGGTATCAGTGAGGAGAAGACAGGAAAAAACAAAGACATTAGTGATAAACCAAAGCACACCATGGTTATTAGCCATTATGTAAAATTTTACTTCAGCTTAAATTTGACAGCCCTCACCTTTTGTGGACAAGAAAGTTCTTAGAATTTCTGCGATTTGGAAAGTTTTCCAAAGTAGAGAGAGAAAATGTTGTGAAAACAAAATGTGGTTTTCTGATAAAATCATACCAAAGAATTCTAAATGGTGAAATTCAATCAAAAGTTGGTTCAACTGAGTATAAGCTTAAGGCTGTACCCACTTATTCACACCTTGTTTTTAGTTGGATTCTAAGGGTTCAATAATAAAGGTCAAATTTTTTTTAACACCACAAGAGCACGACATTTTACTAGAGGTGTGTTAACTTTCAACAGCCACTATACCTAGGAATGTGGAGGGGGTGAAAAAGTTTACATTTACTTTGCTGGGCTAACAAATCAACAGCACATCCTTGTTTAAGAGCGGCCGAGGCGCAGGTTGTACCCTCAGAGTGATTCGTCATATGTCCGCATGTTGCTCTGTACACACTAAACAAGCAGAAGAGTTTGCTTTCTGAATATACTCTTCAAGTAAAAAAAAAAGAACTTAAAAAAGGGAAAAAAAGAGAGAATGCACTGGGTTGCAAGAGTTTCTGTTTAAGTTTAAGGCGATTTTTAGAGCTCACAGATTTTTACCCATCGTCATCACTGGTGGACTGGGAATATGGCGGTGATCATTCGTTGGTCTGCTCAGGTCAAAATGGGAAACGATTGCTGATGGCAGGAGTTTGGACAAATCAGGTCTGTGGAATAGAAACGTCTTCTCTTCTTAGAGAAGACTCAATCACTAAGGGAAAAAAAATCCACAGTTTGGAAATGGAGATACTTTTTCAGTTCATTTCTGTTTGGGAGTAGAAAAAAATGGGTGATACTTGTGAAGCACTATCACGGATACTCCTACAGCCCACGTGTTGGTGCAGCTACCAAAGCTAGTGGTCTCGATCTTCAGTCTCTGGTTTTCGTGTGTGCTAACCCCTGGAGTTGTTGTTGAATTATTATAAGGCCACCATACTGTGAAGATGCTCTGCTCATCTTCAGAGTATCAACAACCCGGAGTCGGTCAACTCATCTGATCTGTGGTACCTGCTGCTTTCGGCCGACAGAACAGCATGTTAAACTTCTTCAGATTTCATCTGGTTGCAGACTGTTGTCAGACCCCATAACACACATTTTTTTCTTGCTCTTCCTCGTCTGCTTTAAGAGAGAAACAGAATGCAATATGCCCCGCAGCTAAGGGAGCTGTTAAGAGAATAAAATATCTCCCTGGCTGCCACCTGTGAGGAAGTACATGAATCTAGTCCACAGAAGTATATGCTATATCCAACATGGTACACTAACATGGTTCCCATCAAATTTTCTCTTAAACAGACAAACTGGTGACAGAACTCTCAGCCCTGCAAAGCTCAAGTCTATAGAAACAGTGGAAAAAATGAACAATAGAAGATACAGAAGAGATTTAAGAAAAAGAAAGGGCAGCGGTTCAAGTCAGCGTCCCTCTACCCAACCATCCTGGGGGAACCGCCATGCGGAAGGGAGGAGCTGTTAATGTTTAGATTGGCATGAACTAGTTGGTTATAACTGGAACGTGAATGAACCCTCAGTCAGCGCATCCTCATGGAATCAATGAATCTGAAATCAGGGGGTTGTCCTCCACCGGAAAGACCGCTGTTAAGAGTCCTCGCCGTCGTCCTCGTCGAGAACCGAGCAGTCTTTTGTCCCGTACAGATCGGCTAGCTTCCTGAACCTCGGCCCCCAGCTCTGCAGATAGTCATAATCCAAGTCGGACTCCGTCGTGACCGACTCGAGTGAGCTCAGCGAACCGGCCAGCGATCCCCTGCCCTCGTAGCCGTAGATCTGGATGGAGTCGTAGGGCGGCGCCGTGGGGTCGCCATCGGCCTCCGCGATCCGAGTCTTGATGAAGTCATCCACATCGACGCTGTTGGGTGCTGGGCGACCCACTCCAGGCCTGATGGGGTACTGGAGTTCCGGTTTGATGTCTTTCCTTGGCAGGAAACCGTTGGCACCGTCTGGGTTCTGGGTGAAACAGGGAAGCGGTAATAACATACAAACATCGACAGAAAGACGGGGAAGACATCTTATTGCTGGAGCAACTCTTCCTTACCTGCAGTGTCGCGATGTCGAAGGCCTCTGTATCTTCCTCACCGCCTCCTTCGTCATCATATGTAATGATATTCTCTCTGATGTCCTCCTCCTCAAACACTATCAGTGGCTCCTTCTTCTGACGCCTCAGTGCGACAAACAGAACCACAATGGCTGCCAGAAAGCAAAACACCACATTAAACAGCCTGTTTTGGCATTGGATCTGTCTTTCAAATCCGAGCAGCAAATGAGTAAACGCTGCACTGCAATGGGTGTGGATAATTGGCATACCCTTTGGGGAGGCCCATTAAAGACTAATTCATATTTATACTACTGTGATGCACACATACCCGTTTAATTGCTTGTAATTTTCAAATATGTCTTTTGAAGGTTTTCGGATGCATCCTGCTAATCTTAGAGCGTGGCATCATATCTTTACCTCGGCTCTAATGAGGATGATGTATCCTGAATCAGTCAGCAAAGACCAGGAAGATGAAATGATTTCATCTGCAAACACACTTCCAAGTTGTCTTTGAGGTTTTGGATTTGCGATCAGAAGATATGAGTATGATACAGTGATGAAAAAATAAGTAATAATAGAACAAAAGTAAGATTTGGTTTGCTCAGACTGATTAGTACGATCTACTGACACCAAGATCCACAAACCCAAAGTAGTGGGTACCTGTGAACTGATTGGTTTTATAAAATCTTTAACAGTTGAATTTCCTCATCCCACCACCTTCTGCCAAGTTTTCCTGCAGGACTGGATTGTATTTGTATTGTATTTCACCACCTGCATTCTCACAAAATAATGCTGCCACCACCATGTGGGGAAAGGAGTTAAGGGTGAAACTGTCAATGACATTAAGTCAAAAAGTTATCGACCAACTAAATCAAGTTGGTTAATAACACAAGAATATGAGACCAAATAATCCTGTCGCAACAAGATTCAAGACCTGCGTTAATGTACTTAAGGTTATGAACTTAAGACTTATTCAGGACGAGCGGACACGCTGACTGCGCTGAGGTATTTCAGCTGCCTGAGCTGCCTGTTGATATGCTCTAAAAAAAGCTCTGCACATTTTTTCCCCGGATGATTTGGTATGTCCGCTGAAATAACAAACCCTTGTGATCCAATAAAGTTTAGTGCAAAACTGTTAAAACGATCATTTTAGAATAAACTTTAAAGCAATGGCAGAGATTTAATAACTGTCTCAATGATTATTTATTTACAGAGTAAATAACCTAAAACATATGGTGTGCTTTTATAGTTCGCCCCTTTTATACTGACATCCCCAAATAAAATTCAATGTAATCACCCTTAGATGTCCAACATAGTTCAATTTGGTATGTAATTTTTTGGTTTCTTACCGAGCAAAATGACAATGCAGGCTAGAATTGCAATCAGAGCACCGGTGCTGAGGCCAGCAGGCAGGACATAGGGCTCCACGTTACAGGAGAGGATGGAGTCTTTGCTGTCGCAGGAGCAGACTCTGATGGTCAGGGTGTTGGTGCTGCTCATGGAGGGGAAGCCATTGTCGTTTATTTCAATGGGAAGGTAGTAGACATCCTGGGTCAGACGGCTGAAGCCTTTGCGGAGCACATAGATGCTGGCTGTGCTGTCTGTAGAGGAGAGAAGAGAAGACATGCAGGTGAGCTGGCTAAATAACAGTAAGTGACACAAACATGTGCACTTAAGGAAAAGAAGGAAAGTGATTTCCTTCCCATATCTGCTCAGCAGCTCAAGTGGTTGAAATGCCTGAATGCCAGGGTTTGAAGTGCAGAGTGAAAACTTTCCAAACAGTTTATTTCTGACGGGAGAAACTGTAAATAGTGCTAAGAGAGTTTTTTTTTTTTTTTTTCAAAATCAAGACAGTTAACAGATACCCTAGATCAGTGTTTCTCCACCCTGGTCCTCAGGCCCCCTGTCCTGCATATTTTAGGCGTTTCCCTTCTGCCACACCTGAATTGTATCTCTGGGTGATTAACAGGCTTCTGCAGCACCTGATGGTCATGCAATCACAGCTGTTCTGGAACAGAGGCTCATCTAAAACATGCTGAGCAGGGGGGAGGTGAGGACCAGGTGGAGAAACACTGATCTAGAGAGATGTACCTGCACTGAAAATGAAGACTTAATCTAAAGATTTTCACATTTTATTTCAGTAATATGAAAATAATATAAGTAATATAATAAAAATGTGGAAGAAAAAATGCACAAACTAAGAATTTTATAGCAGGGGAGGTATGTACAATATTTCTGGCACAAAGTGCCATTGTACAGCACAATCAAATTACTATGTTGCCTTCAGATGTTATGGAAATGCTGTACATATAAAATATGATTTAAAAATAAATCATAGTCATTTCTGATGCCTTGAAATTGGGCCTCTGTCTCTTTAAGAACCTCCTCCCCTTCATCACAGTGATGCTCCTCCATGGTGCCGTTTACAGCTGTTCTATGGAGCTCAGTAGATGCCCAGTTCTACCAGGTGATTGCTAATTGCTGCTGCTAGTCTGAGAAGCTGAGGTGGGAACATGATATAAAGTTTAATAAGCTGATTTTGCATAATCCTCCTGGTTTAAATATTGTATTCTTATTCGTGCTTGCATTATTTTGAAAGAACCTGTGGATTTCATTTGAAAAAAGAATGAATGTGAAGTGTTTCTGTGTTGTGGAAATGAATAAACTACATACTATATTTTTGCATCATGGGAATTATCTGTAATTTTACTCATCAACCTGAAGTGATGGGTTTTCTTGTTTCCTAAGCAAAAATGATATTTTGCTGTCAACTTTTAATTTTTCGTTCTTCTTTTTTTAAATCCCATCTGTACTTGTGTCCATCAGCACCAAATCTTCCTGTTTCAACAGCTGAAGGTTCCAGCTGGTTTTGTTTAGAGCCAAAAACCTGATGGGCCAGAAGGAACAGTTATAAAAAGCAATTCTTATAATATCATCTTCCTTTAATCTTGATTATTCTAATAATCTAGATTAGAGAACTGGGGTCAGTACAGTTGTTCCGTATAAATACCATCAGTATTTATAGTTGGTTGTGACTCTTGTTCATAAAAGCTATTGGATTCTGAAATATCACTAGTTGGTATCTATAAATCCTGCTTGAAACAGAGTGTGTAGCGCATTTACAGCACTATTCATAAATACTGATCAGAGGTCATAACCAACAAACCCTGCAGGTTAAAACAGCTTCTAAATTACTCTGGAAATATTAAGACGATCATTTCCAAATGTGTTTTGTAAGCTCTCTCTCTGCAGTATAATCTAAAAGAACTTTAGAATGCAGTGGAGAAAGGTTTAGTTGAACAGGAGTGGCAGCCTCTTTGACTGGACCAGTTGGGAACCGGCTCCTCCCCTGGTCCAGCAGTAAAACTGCTTTGCCACAAAAGCTCACATCCCACTGATCTGATTCTGGAATTAGTGGGTTTAAGATGGCACCTACATATGTCGTGTCATCTCTCTCTCAACTGCAAAGAGTGCACCACACATGCTGGGCAACGATCAGCCTCATGCAAACCCACAATTACAGCTTGCCACCAAAGTGCTTCCAGTCTTAAAGCCAGGTCTCCACTGTAAAAGAACCAGCTCCTTCTGTTTCCATGAAGGATCATAGCGCATTAAAACAGTTCAACTGCAAAAGTCTGATTATCGGTACTTATCCCAGCATCTATTCAAGTAGTTCCCTGATATCACCACCTTAATGTATTAAAACAGGTTTCATCAAAATGTGGTGTGTGTGAACGCCACACAGATCCAATCTGGTGATCTGAAAGCTGAAGTTGAACACAACTGTTGGAGCAAGATTAATTAAAACCACTAAAGGACTAACAGTGTTAATGAGCTGAGTCGAAAATAGTGTTTATGGAACCAGTGAAAAATAATCAGCTGTTAAAGCAGCTCTAAGCGTTTACCTGCTTAACCTGTGAGACGATATAACCAGCTGGAAAATAAGAAACAGTCAGCTTGAGGTCCTCTGATGCTAGTATGACTTTTATTTTTCTAAGGCTTTTCTGGGACCAGTGGCCTTTATTTGCAACAGATAAGATGGGCAATGGGCAGAGAGAGAGAGGGAGAAGACATGCAGGAAAAGGTGCCAAGGTCAGGAATCAAACCCTGAACACCTGCGTCAAGGACTCCGTATGAGGGACCCGCTGAACCTTTACACCAGGCAACACCGCTATTCTTCTGTTTCAAGTTACACTTATTAAAAGTCAAACTAAACTCCAGAGGTGAACTCTCAATGCTTTGATTGGCTGCTGTTATCCAAGAGTCTGTTTCCATGTCCTGACAAACAGAGTTCTTTCCTCTGGTCCAGCAGTGAATTGCTGCTGGTTAGTCCATATTTTCAGGGTCAGAGCAAGAGTATAGAGGTGGGCAATATGCGCTTAAAGTTTTATCATGATATTCAGCGGTATTTATTGTGATAACACAAATAGTGCTTTTAACCCTCCAACAGTTTCAACAGATGGGGTTCATCGGATCCGAGAGCTTTTTACCATGTTGCACTAAATTTTTTTGTGTGTTTTCGGGAAGTGACGTTCTGATGGGACACCCCCAATCTGCGCTCCTCCTAAAATGTCGCGGTAAGACCATGGAAGAGTTAAAAACATCCCCATTTAGGCTGCTTCGGTACACCAGTTGTAGAAAGAAGTGTGCCATCTTTGGTACACATACTTAAGGCATACTTCACTCCACAGAGGTCCAGGCAAACTCCAGTGTAATAGATGAAATGAAGTCTCATTGTCATAGACAACTGTTTTCTAATCCGTTATTGTCTGACCTTGATGAGCTAGTACAGATTTTGGTCTCAGTTTGGTGTACTTAGCTGATAGCAGTGGCACCTGTTGGGTTTTCTGCTGCTGTAGCCAAACTGCCTTAAGGTTTGTTGAGCCTAGCTTTCTAAAATTGTCCTTCAGTAACATATTTCTGTCCGCCCAACAGCTGCTTGAGTGTATTTTTTGTTTCCATATCTTTGTAAAACCCACAGTCTAGAAAATCCCAGAATATGAGCGGCTTTGAAATACTCAGACAAGCCCAATGAGGCACCAACAGCCATGACACATTCAAAGACTTCAAAAGCTCACAGGTAAAACATGATTTACACACACGGCTCTCTTCCCATGACATTTCCTCTCTTATCCGTTGTCTTCTCCACTTCCCTTAACTCTCATTTCCCTTTCTATTTTGTCTCTCACAGCTCTCACAAAACCTAATTCAATCAGTCGGCCCCCCAAAGATACACGTACAGACGGACAGAGACCCCACCACAATTAATATGGCCCGCAGGACATGTGCGCATTCATGAGTGTGCGGGAGAAAAATTCAGAGCACCTGCTTATTTCTACGAGGCACTGTAAGCCTCCATCTGGTCGTGCTTTGATCTAATTTGGGTGAAGGAGGGGGGAAGGTGTTGAATAAGAGACTGCAGAGGAAGAAACAGGAAGGCTGGCTGCAAAAATAAAGTGTTGGAGCAAGAAAAATAAAGAAATCAGTTTCTAAATTGATTTACCTCTGTTGTCTTTGAGTGAGAAGTTCTGGTTGTGGGCGACTTCGGGAGCAAGGCTGAAAGTGAAGTGTTGCCGGTGAGCCATCTCGTCTTTGTCCACAGCGCTGACTGTTTCGATAACCTGCATCGAAACAGTCAGAAGGAGACTACACGTTGATACAAAACAGTCACCGAGTGTTTATGCCTTTCAATGCTGAGGTGTTCTCTGCACTGTCTGGTGCCGATGAGCGTACCTTCCCTGGCGCCACATTTTCACACATGTGGACTTCGTTGTTTGTGGCAAACTCTGGGGAATTGTCGTTGACGTCTTTCACTTTGATGTTAACTCTCACTTTGGTGTCTTGGTGGTGACCGCCTGTGTTGCACATAAAATAATCAGCACCCTGTTGCTACCAGGCATATATAAAGCAGTGTCAAACACATAGAAGTGAGAAAACCTTTTGTTCTTGAATCTGTGATTGTGTTTAGAAATCTATTCTTGGCATTGAGGGAAAATATTGTTTTCTTGCAAGATTGTCTGTCAATCAGACAACCTCTTAGAATTCTAAGAGTGCAACAAGCAGCTAATTATTTCTTCTGTCTACCGCGCACTGACTCATATCTATTTACAGTAATATGTCAAAGAATTCCCTTGAAATTTGAACATATTTTCATGGTGCAACTACAAACCTTAATGTACAGTGGACCCTTGACTATTCTCTGCTTAATATTCACAAATTCTCTTAGTCAGGGATTTTTCTGTGGAATGCAACTCAAAATTATTTGTGGAAAATTTGCATATTATATCTAAAATATTCTAATATTTGAAGTAAAATGCAGCTTTGGAAGCTGAAATAAGTAGGCACAACATTAATTAATACACTATCAGCTGGAGTGGGCAAAGCAGTCAATCCAGGAGCAGCATTCATTTTCCTTGCAACAAACAGGCTGCACCCTTAAGAGCAGAGTTAAGTTAGACAGGGGATGCTAGCTTCTGCTGTAATGTTAAAATGATTTCCACTGTAAATATTAATGAATATTAAGGTATATTGATGTTTAAAATATTCAAATATTCAATTCCAAGTGTTTTTAGAGGGGGGCCTAAAGTATTCACGGATTTCAGCTGTAGGCTGTGGTCCCTAACACCTGTGAGTACCAGGAGTCCACTGTTGGTTATCTATGTGATGGAGCAACACCAAGTCCATGTTGGCCAAAAAATATAAAGAACTAAGAAATAGTTTTAAGAAAAACTAGTATCATTTTTGTCTATTTTTTCTATAATATATATTAGCATAGTGTCCAGAACAGAACAACACTAATGACACAAGGAATCATTTCCTGTTTAGTTTTTTTTTAAAATGTTATCTTTAGGCTATAAACTTCATGTTCTTTCTTAATTTTTCCATAAAACGGAAAAATTAAGAAGTATGAAAAAAGTCATACTTAAAAAAATGTAAATTAAAAATTGGAAAAATGTATTTAAATTGAAAAACATCTGAAAACTATGTTGTTTTCCTTTCACTTATCAGCTATTTACTTAGACTATATCTATATCCAGATAAAATACACAGATATTTGTGGTTGCAGTGTAACAAAATGTCACAATCATGTCAAAAAGATTAAAGGAATGAATACTTTGGCAAGAAACTGTTTATATTCATCAACACTAAGTTTGTCGTGATAAGCAAATGTGACAAATTACGAATATCAAACAGAAGAAAAAAGGATGGGAAGTATTTCTGTGTTGTAGAAATGTACATATTTGCTGAACTTGTCAGCGTATGTTTTCCACTACCCTGTAATTACTGGTCGTTTATTTAAGCTTCCCAGTGCCTAAATGTGGTTAGCATAGCCTGCAATGCCTCTAACTTTGTGGGCGACTAGTCCGTTTCCATCTGTCCGTCTGGCGTCGAGCACGCCACAGGGAAACCACATGGCGCTCTGCTAGCTTGAGCCCTGGCCACAGAATACCAGGGTGGGGCCACGGTGGCCTGTGAAGATTTCTGGCCTTAAAACCAAAAAGAAAAATCTTCCAAGTGTCTGTGGGTGGACAAATCTAACTGATTTTCTTTAGTTTTCCTTTATATTTTTTTTTACTTTCCCGTTACTAATAAGGGCTTCCTGCACCACTTAGCATTGACACTGTTAATGCCAACAATGTGCTTCTTCTCAAAATCAGATATTTGCGTAACATCAAATCGTTGATCTATAGAAACATCTTAAAATGTGTGAATGCTTTAGTTCTTATTTAATTTATCCCTTTTATGGGGTTTTTTTGTCTCATTTCACAAAAAACAAAGATACAGTCAAAATACTAATGTTACTAATTTAGCCAAAAGCTGTATTTGAAAAACTACCTACAGCAATCTTTCAAAAAACATAATTAATCTTTTTTTCACTTTATAATGGTAGGCTTCAAAGAGTTTCAAGACAGATTTATAACAGTTCCCACATTAATGGGCAGTATTTCTACCTCAGTTTGTTCGGTATTTAAGTCCTTTCTCAGCCACAAATCATGATGCAAACTGTCAACTTTGATTTTACAACCTTGAAGAATTATGTAAGTTCTGAAGGCAAAGGACTGGAATTATTCTGTTCTTTTGCCTTCAGAACTCTATTAAGTCGTCGTGGCATAGAGTGACAGAGACATTGTACCAACATTTTGGCCCTCAAGTTCAAGGATAAATATTGTTTTGTTGGGTTAAGGTTTGATGATTTGGTGTGTTTGCTTTGGTATGCATACCAATCTCTGTAGCTGAAACTGAAATGTTGTGCCAGGGTTGTGTTTCTCGGTCCAGCGGTCTGTTCGTGATGATCATTCCGTCTTCTGAGATGCTGAAGAACTGATCGACATCCGTGTACCGAGGAATCATATATCTGTTTGTAGAAAGCATGTTCTATAACACAAGACTCACCATGTTCATAAACTTTACCACTTGGGGTATGTTTTATGTCACGCCATAATCTCAATTTTTAGGTTAGACAGATATCTATGTGCTCTGATCTGAGTGTCTTTGTGCATGGTCACACATTGTTTTATTGTTACCTGACAGGATTGTTGGCAACATCCGTGTCCTTGGCGTGAACCCGTCCCACCGGGGTGCCTCGAGGCGCGTTCTCCTCCACCTCGAAAGTGTAACTAGAGGCTATGAAAACGGGAGGCTCATCTGCGTCCTCCACCGATATCTGCGCACCAACACAAACAATCGCTGAAGGGCTCCTGTGATGTTTGCTCTATTAAACCGGCAAATAAATATGCACGCCTCGCTCTCCTAGGCACACCGTGCACCCAATGAAATGCATGCATTATTGACTTTTCTGCTCCTTTTCATACACAAAACTACCTTGATTGTGGCTTCATCCTTGTAAGGTCCCCAAGCGAGAAATCGAGGGTCTATGTGTGGATTGGACCCCTCCACCTTCAATGTGTAGGACCTCTTTGTCTCAAAGTCCACTTGCTGAGAAAGTAGAGACAATGGATTATTATTATTATTATTATTATTATTATTGCTGCAAATACATACAATATTGTTGTTTATTCCAAAGAACAGAACTATGATCCATCCCCTGCAGAAGCTGCGTAGATGTTGCAAACTGCATGAATGATCAGTGCTGAGCTTTCATGTTCAGGTAGGGGGAGCTGTTGCCACATGAATAAACCGAAGGAGCTTCTGTTAAGAACCCAACAACCAAAAAAAGAAAAAGAAAAACCCAGTAACCCAAATAGAGACTTTGATTTTAAAACTGTTCCTGGTGTATGATATGGCATCATATGACAGGATTATTTCTGGAAGTGAATGAATCATTGGATTGTTTCTGTTCTGGCTGCTTTCATCATCAGATGAAAAACAACAGTGGTGTGTTTCTAATAAGCCAGGATGAGGTCTGGGAGTCTGGGATGCTGCGTGATGAGGAGGAACAGAAACGCTTTCAGTCACCGAGAGACGAAGCAGGACCGCGACGGACCGTTTCCGCCTGCAGAATTAGGCGGAATTTAATCAGTTACACCTTGACAGTGGAGACCGGTGTATTAATCATCCACTTTTTATACACAGCTTGCCAATATATCAGCTGATATATCAGTAAACTCCAAGAAACCTCTGAGGTGCTGAATTTATTCACATAGAAGTCAGGATCACTTCACTTTTTACATACAGTATCCTTGATGCAGAATCAATTTGTGCCCTGAGGGGGCTTTTTCTTTTCCCCCATTGTGCGCATATTTTCCTTACACATCACATTCTCATCTAGTCATATCAAAAAAGTTGCACTGCAATTACAAAGCAATGACCCTTGGCTAAAAGGCACAGTGGATGTTACGCCTCTAATGATCCTCTCTCCTGATGTGCAGTCTACACTGCTGCAGGGAAAACTTCTAAGTCAACAATTGTTCTGGCAGTTATCGTATGATGCAATACCCAAGAGGTGCTCTCTGCTAAGATTGCAAGGCAGCGTGCTTCGCCAGCAGCGCTTGGCAGCAACCTCATATGCAGCTGTAATCATAGAAAGTCACACTCTTTTGGGTGTTATTGTTTGGTCTTAAACAACGATCCTTTGCCACAAAGACATAGATGCTATTCCACCTCCAAATGGTGATGCTGAACAGGATACATCCTAGAGCAGGTGTGCTCTTTTACACCAGGGCTCCTGTGCTGTTGGTAAACGCTGATTTGAAGTAGCTCCGTCATGTCGCTTCTGATTTGTTCTCTTTGTAGGCTTTTGTTCATCAGTTCTAAAAAGCAGGCTTTATGGATGCAGAAGGAAGAAATTCAAACCATCTTCAACCAGATTTTAAGATGAGCGCCAAAAGCAAATGAGGTGGACTAGGGTTGATTATTGTCACATTTACATTAAGCTCTTGGACACAAAGAAGTTCTGTGTCATTGGCTCTAACCATGATAAGTGGTTCTATTCTATTCTGGTTATAAAGTTATTTTACATAAACAGTTTCCCATAAAAGCAGCAGCTCTACATCTTCAACAGGTTGTCTTGCCCTTTCAGTCTGCCTGCCCAGGGTTTAATTATTTAGAACTTTTTAAACTCCAGGCAGGCAATGTTTAAATAAAGTTAAAACAGATATAAGTACATTAAATATTTTGCCTCCATCCTTGATTAGAGAGATACATTTCAGCAAAATGAACAGCTTGCTAAATTCTCTATATCTGTTTAAAACATTGATGAACATTGATGGTGTCTTTTCTTTGAGGTGCTGAGGCCTGGAAGCATTTGTAGATTTTACTTTAGGTCTGTCTTACTTGTTTTCAGTTGTATCATTGGGCTTTTAATATTCAAAGAAACAATGTTGGTTGGAAACACTCTGGGTGTATTGGAGGCACCCCTTCTTCTACTGTTACTTCTGTTCTCGTTTGTCTCTCTCTTCCAACAAACAAATCTGTAAGAATCAATTTCTGCTAAATTCCCAGAAGATTTGGAAGTAGCTTAGAAGATATTTTAAAGTTATGGCAGCATATCCATTGTTTGCCTCTAAATCATTCAAATTAAGGTGCTGCACAATTGAGGTTCACTTTTCTAGATGTAGGATCTGATATTTACCATGAAATTCAATAGAAACCTCAACATTTTTAAAGTTTAATCTGTCAGCCAAGTCATATGGTTTGGCGCTTTTTTTGTCTGCGGTTTCATAATTTTAATTTAATTATCAAATTATGGTTAATGTGATGCAATAGCTTCTGTAATGGGATTACGTTTACAGCCCCATCCATTGATGCTATCCACGGATCCCCAGCTGAGCCCATTTAACTGAATTCCACACTGAGGATCCCCTTTGAGTCCTCTGCCAGATATCACCTTCTCCTACAATGGAAGTCTCTGGGAGATATATCTACAATAGGCAGGTTTCAGTTCTGGTACCAGCAAACCACTCAGATACTGAAAAGATGGAGTGATTCAAGAAAGGAATGACGGTCAAAGACAATGAAAGGGATTGAAAAAGAATGGAAGAATGAGGGGAGAAAAGGAAAGAACAGAAAGTCAAGAAGGAGAAAGGATGCAAGAAAGGAACTCATAAGGGACACATGGAAAGGAGGACAGAGGTAAAGGATTAAGGAAGGACTCATAGAGGGCGATAGAGGGATGACAGAACAAGGGATGTAAAGAAGCGAGGAAAGAATTAAGGAAGGAAGGACAAGCCAGTTTGTATTTTCGGGAATAAAACACATTACACTGTGATCTGAATGTTATAAGCTGCCACTTGATTCTAAAGGTTTAGGTCAAGACTCCATAAAGGCCAGTGAGGTTCTTCTACTACAAAATGGCTCATCAATGCTTTTTTGGATCTTGCTTTATGCATTGGTGAACTGTCACTGTGGAACAGCATCTGCCTCCTTCCTAACTGTTTCCACAAAGTGAGAACACTCTGCACAGTAATGCACACTTGAAACCATTCAGTCAGGCAAGATGTGTTCTCCTGGTAGCTACCAAAACCAGACTTTGTATTGTGGCATGTTTCATCACTCTGGAGAACATATCCCCACCAGTCTGGTGTTCAGAAAGCTTTAGAGAACCACACCTGTTGCTTTTAAAGAGTCGGGTGCAACAGCTTATTAAGGAGACCCTACGAAGCTCTCTGTAGACTCTGCTGCAGATAAACTAAATGCCACACAAAGTCTGGAAGTGTGTAGCTGTTAACAGAAAGTTGATGAACTTTGCACACTATGTGCAGCTGCACCACCCACTACGTAATTTCACGTTTCTAGACTGAACTGCAGTACAAGTGTTGTTAGACCAGTTGACTGTCGAACATTTAGAAGCCAGGGAATTTCAGAACTGTAATCATAGCGTACTCTGTTACCACCTCATGCTGCAATTCGCCAGGGTCCTGAGGGGAACTAATCCTTTCACAGATGTTTGCATGTTCTCCCTGTAAATGGATGGGTTCTCTCTCTAGTGCTCTGGCTTCCTTCCACAGTCCATGAACATGACTATTATGTTAGTTGGTCTCTCTAAATTGCTCCTAGGTATGAGTGTGTGCATGCACAGTTGTTTGTCCTTATGTCATTGTCCAGAGTCATTGCCCAAAGTCCAATAACTCTGGACAAGTCATTGTCCAGAGTCATTGCCCAAAGTCCAATAACTCTGGACAAGTCATTGTCCAGAGTGCACCTGGCGCTGGTACCACTAGGGATAGGTACCAACCTAGACAATGAATGGCTGTTTGTAGCATTCTTCATGCCTAAGAGATTGATTTTACAGACTGTGGCAATGGAAGAGGTAGGAATGCCTGCAATCAATGATTTGATGGAGTGACCGAATACTTTTGGCAACATAATGAATATTTCCACTCACTTTAAGTGAACACATTTCGTGACAAGTGTCTAAAAAGCCACCGTATGCGAAAAGGAAAGCGCTTTAAAATGTTACTGTAAGAATCTGAATGAAACAAGAAGCCATTTTCTGACACTGGCATTATGCTTGAAATCATCTTTGGTCTTGGGTTTGTCTAGCTTTTAGCTCCACAGACCCAAACCCATTAACGAGTGAGGACTCGTGAACAAATTTAGAGCTAGAGGTTC